TCTTTCAGTTTAGAAATTTCGTATTAGGACGCAACACCAGGAATCTCTGAGGACGCGAGTTCTCAATTTTCTGGTTGGTTTTCTCAGTATGACTGGGTGCGAGAGTCAGAAGGTCCAAAAGGTCTTTTAAACCTTTCGTTCCCAGAAGCCTTTACTCCCCCGAAGTAGGGGCAGGTTCTGTAGCTGTGTTGAGATTGCTGGGAGGTAGTCAAATAAAGGGCCCGGGGAGGGCAAGGCCTGGGAAGGAAACGATTCTCCTATCCTGCTTTCAATAGCAGTCTAGAAGGCTCTAAACTGGGTCAGGGAACAAAAAGTTGCTGCATTTAGGGTGATGGACCCTAGGAACCAAGCAAGTCTCAATCTTCTCCTTGCCAAGGGTGCCCCAGTTCAACTTCCCCCTCCACCTCCCCATACAGCCGCTCACCCTCCTCCCAGTTACAACTGGGACCTGAAAAGTCCAGAGGAGAAAGGAGAGAGAACCAAGCTGACATCGAATCCAGCATTCTCCTCCCCTCGGTGTGGGCATAGGGTTCTGGAGATCGTAGATTGTACACGAAATCCAAGGGGCTGGGGATCACTCACCACAGTCTGGCCCCAGCTGCACTCCCAGCCTCACACCATAGGCTGAGGGGGAAAAGGGGGAGAGAGCAGCCCCCCCCCCCAGCTGGTAGTGGAGCCCTCTGCAGCCTCCTCTGAGCCCACTGCATGGCCGAGACCACAACTGCCCCAAGATAGTGGATTTCTTTAGAGGACATTCTACTCTTCATTAATTGTGATAAATAGGGTCCTGCCTTATGTAAATAAAAGAAATTCATGGATTATCCTGACTTTTTCTGGTCAGACTTGCTGTGAGGCCATTAACCAGACTACCTCCCACATTTGAATTTCTCTTTTCTCCATCTCTCTCTGCCTTTGCCCAGCTCCTTCTGGAGTCAGATTTGAGGAGCGAGAGAGACAGAACTAGAAGCAGGGTGCTTGCCAGTCTTCCTGCTGGCCTTGCCCCAGCTCCTCGTTCCCCTGGGTCCTCCGCCTCCCTCGCGGGGACTGAAGGAGGCTGTTTGTCTGTTGCAGAATGTGAGCACTTGATCCGCCACATGCTGGTGTTGGACCCGAATAAGCGCCTCTCCATGGAGCAGATCTGCAGGCACAAGTGGATGAAGCTCGGGGACGCGGACCCCAACTTTGACAGGGTGGGTCGGGCACCACTGCCGAGGGGGACTCTCCTGGGAGCTGCTTTAGTCTCCTTTGCATGTGATTGTAATCAGGCTGTGACCTGAAAAGGCAGGCGCTGGGGACAAACTATTATGTCATGCCAGTGCCACAAGTGAAGCAAGCAAGAAATGTAAAACCAGCTGAGTAGTTGGGGAATGGCCATACTGGTGACCTCCCATTTGGGCCCAAATAAATTATAATGTTTTTGACTTTTGAGACAGGCCAGCCCACAGCTGTGCAGCTCCCTCACCATTGGGATATCTCCTTCTTATCTTAGTATGTTCAGCTCAATGGCTTCTGTAACATGCCTTTGTTTAAACCAATGTGGCCATCCCAGGTACCCCAAGAAGCTCAGGAAACAGGGACCCTATCTACTCACAGGTGACCACCCAGGGATGTCTTGCTTAGACTTTGAGGCCAAAAAAATCCTAAGCTAGGAGATCTGGGTCAGCTTGGTCATTAGATAGGGTGTCCCGTATTGACCTGGCTAATTGGAGGTTTGACAGCTTGCTCTTGCTATGTTACAGTTAATCGCTGAGTGTCAACAACTAAAAGAAGACAGAGAGACGGACTCCCTGAATGAGGATGTTCTCCTGGCCATGGAGGACATGGGACTGGACAAAGAGCGGACATTACAGGTATTTCTAAAGGAGTGGAGAACAAAGCGAGATGTAGCGCTCATTCCTCTGTCCTGCCGTTCCTCTTTTTCTCTTTCCTGGGAGCTGGGGTCTTTTTGTTTTCCTCCTGTTTTTCTTCCTCTGCCCTTCCCTGGGCATTGGCGAAAGGAAAGAAGGTGCTCTGGTCGCTAATGTTGTTACTGGAAGGGCTTTGGTCATTGACATACCATTTCACCAGGGTTTTTTGTTTTACTCTTTTCCCTTCTCTCTTGGTAGTCATTAAGGTCAGATGCCTATGATCACTATAGTGCAATCTACAGCCTCCTGTGTGATCGACATAAGAGACATAAAACCCTGCGTCTCGGAGCACTTCCTAGCATGCCCCGAGCCATGGCCTTTCAAGCACCAGTCAATATCCAGGTGGGCAATAACTCCAGTGACTTAGATGAGGGCAAGTAACACAGGGGGTGAGGGTTAGCTATTGCTCACTAACCCTGAGTTAGCAGCTTCCTGACCTTCCTTACATCTCTCCATTGTCATCTCTCCATCAGAGGTCAATCAAA